TTCAATTTAGGTTAGGGGAACTTTTTTTAAATTAAGAAACTCCAAAATTATTCCCCCCAAAAACCCTTAAGTAGGTTTGCCAGAAAAATAAAGTTTTAAATTAAGCCAACAAAATATATAATTTTTACAACATGCGTTATATGAGACGAGTGTGTGTATTCATGTCTTTGTAGCACCTTTTCCAGGTCTTTGGTTTAATAAAACGATAACACCAAGAACATTGACAAGAACAATAAAGCATGCCAAAACTATGCATCTGGTTGATCTGAATTGATGGTAAAGGTTAATGTTTAGTATTGTATTATTGTGTGTCACCAGGAGGAACAGGGTTGGCAAACATTGTTTTTTTATTTAATTAAAAAGGACGCTTTGTCTTGTTTATCAATATTTAAAAAAACTTGCAAATGTTTATATCCAGCATACACAGAAAATTAAACACTAACTTATATTTCACTTCAACTTTGTCTGAAAAGGGGGGGTGGGGGGTGGCAGCATTTTTTTTTTTTTTTTTTTTTGTCATGATAAAAATATAGCACCATAATTTTTTGGCATAATTTTTTTGTATACAACATTTTATTCCTAAAAATCTAATAAATTATTAAGGATAAAAATCAAATTATAGACCTAAAAATATTTAGAGAAAACTGCCTTAAAAAAATAATGAAAAATGCAAAATAATAAACATCTGTTTCATGTTCTTACCTTTCCACTGGTCTGAATAGCAAAAAAGCATAGTGGCTAGACACATTTATAAAATGAATAATATTAAAATCAGTTCCAATGTTTAAGTAGTGCTTGAAGGATAGGCGTGAGAACTGACTTTGTAAATTATTTGCGTGTAAACACTGCTGCTCAAAGTAAATATTAATAAAGTAAGACAATACATTTTTGTTTACAAAAGCAGTATAAGCTAATAACCAAATATTATTTGATACACACAGGAATGAGTTTAGCCCCTAAAAACTGGATGAAGCCACGTGAAATGTTGACAGTAAAAAGCTAATTAAATTGTCAAATTTGTTTGAGGTTCCTTTAACAAGATTGGCATATCCTGGACAATCCAGTGCAGGTTATTATTGATGGTTTGTGGCAAATAAAGCTTAATTATGGCTAATGTGAATGTAACTGAATCTAATATTATTATAGCTGAATCTAATATTAATATGCTAATCCTTATAATAATATTGCGGATCCTAATATCACTATTGCTGATCCTAATATTATTTTAGCTGATCCTAATATTATTATAGTTGATCTTAATAGTATTATAGCTGATCCTAAGATTATTATAGCTGATCCTAAGATTATTATAGCTGATCCTAATATTATTATAGCCGATCCTAATAATAATATAGCTGATCCTAATATTATTATAGCTGATCCTAATATTATTATAGCTGATCCTTATAATAATATAGCTGATCCTAATATTAATATAGCTGATTCTTATAATAACATAACTGATCCTAATATTATTATAGCTGATCCTAATATTATTATAGCTGATCCTAATATTATTATAGCTGATCCTAATATTAATATAGCTGATCCTTAATATAACCTAATATTATGATAGCTGATATTAATATTAATATAGCTGATCCTAATATTAATATAGCTGATCCTAATATTATTATAGCTGATCCTAATATTACTATAGCCGATCCATTAATTACTATAGCTGATCCTTATTTTAATATAATTGATCATAATATTAATATAGCTGATGTATTAAAGTAACTCTAATATTAACATATGGTCAGTTATTGGATTCATGGATGGTTAATTATACTGTAAAATAACAAAAATATTTTGAATAAGAATGTTTAAATATTTATATTTAATGACAAACAATAATTATAACATATCTAGCATATAAAAATGTAATTTAATTTATTAAGCACGTTTTTCTACATATCTTGATTTCAGAATGTGTAAACAACAAAAATATCCTCATTTATGAATTTAAGCATATTTATACTGTACAACGACCAACAATATATGCAATATTTCCAGGAAAACAGGCGTACAGTATATTAAGTACTTTTGCTTAAGTATTTTGGTTTAAGAAAGCAAATACTTTAAAATAGCAAAGAAATGTGAACTTTTTCAGAAAACAAGTATATATTAACCACCTTTTCTTGCGTTTCTTGATTTTCGAATGTTTAAATAACAAAAAATATCTTTATTTAAGATTTTTTACATATTTACACTGTAAAATGACAAACTATTTTAGCAATATTTCCTAAAAACAAGCATATATTAAGTACCTTTGCTTAAGTATCTTGATTTCAAAACGTTTAAATAACAACAACATCTTGATTTATGAATGTTTACACATTTATACTGTAAAATGACAAAATATTTCCAAAACAAGTATATATTAAGTACTTTTGCTTGCGTTTCTTGATTTTAGAATGTTTAAATAAAAAAACATCTTGATTTATGAAGGTTAACATATTTATATTGTAAAATGACAAAAGTTATTAGCAATATTTCTTAAAAACAAGCATATATTAAGTACTTTTGCTTGAGTATCTTGATTTAAGAAAGCATATACTTTAAAATAGCAAAAAAAAAGTAGACTTTACCAGAAAACAAGAATGTTAAGCACTTTTTCTTGCGTATCTTGATTTCAGAATGTTTAAATTACAAAAACATCTTGATTTATGGGTGTTTACATATTATTTATATTGTAAAACGACAAAAAATATTAGCAATATTTCTAGGAAAAACAAGCATTAAGTACTTTTGCCTTAATATCCTAATTTCAGAATGTTTAAATAACCAAAAATCTTGATTCAGAGTGTTTACATATTTATACTTTAAAATTATAAAAATATTTCCAAAAAACAAGCATATTAGGTACTTTTGCTTGCGTATCTTGATTTTAGAATGTTTAAATAACAAAAACATCTTGATTTTAAGAATGTTTACATATTTATATTGTAAAACGACAAAAAAAAATTAGCAATATTTCCTAAAAACAAGCATAAATTAAGTATTTTCTTGATTTCGGAATGTTTAAATAACAAATATATCTTGATTTAAGAATGTTTACATATTTATATTGTAAAACGACAAAAAATATTTGCAACATTTCTTAAAAACAAGCATATATTAAGTACTTTTGCATCTTGATTTAAGAACGCATCCATATTTAAGCAATTTTAAGCAAAACATATTTATACTTTTCCAGAAATCAAGCATATATTTAGCAGTTTTTTCTTGTGTAAAACAACTAAATTATCTGTAACATTTTCAGATAACATGAATATATTAAGTTCTTTTGCTTGCATATCTGAACACCCCCAAAAATGTGTGCAATTTTTTGTTTGTGAAACAAAACAACACAACAGAGCGTATGATTTACACCTTTGTATTTCACAACTCTCTCTTCTCTTTCTCAGTAAAGGAAATAAAGTTTTTTTTTTTAATGAACGTTCATAAATTTGCATCACATTTGATCTGATACACCTCTATTGTCCACTTATAAATCTTTTATGACATGTATCAATAAAACGAACTTTGCACTTTGTCAAACATTAATTTATTTTCCTCATTCGTAACAATCCTCTCAACGCCAGCAAACGTGGCACATTTATGTTTTCTCGCAACCTTAAATGCCAAAAGATATTTACACAGAAAACAGTCCAACTTAATGACAGGTCTCCTCGGGTTATTATTCTGGTTAAACAACATGCTGTCAAAACCAGTCCTGAAATCAATGTTTCAAGATGCGCGGTTGACTGTGTGGCATTGTGGGTTGTGGTTTTTGGGTGGAGCGCTCGAATTGTCTCTCTTTAAATTATAGTCTGCCCTTCTCTGCAGCCCCTTTTGCTGATTCCAGCGCAGGTGAAACACGTCTCCAGCATCTTTATCACTGATCAGTTAAGCAATCGCTTTATAAAATGCCTGTCGAGTTTGAACTTTGCCCTGGGAGAAAAATTGGGGGCTCCAACCCTTGTTTTATCATCGCCGAGATCGGACAGAACCATCAGGGAGATGTAGAAATCGCCAAAAAAATGATCCGAATGGCCAAGGTAAAGATATGCGGTATTTCATGCTCACGTGTATTTTAGAATAGGGAAATCCCAAAACCATTATTTAATTTGCATAATAGTAGTTGTTGTTGTTTTTTGTGTTTTATATTTATTAAGTTTGCAGATTTATAATGTTTAAGTCATTTATTTATATCATTTTGTTTCATCACTAGAATTTTAAGTCATAACCTTTGTCATATCACATAAAATTGACTTTAAATATAGAATTTTAGGTTATTTATGCAGTATTTTTATGTGTTTAGATATTCATTTCTAAAGTCTAAATTGCTATTTTACTATAATAATAATTACTATTATATTATTTCTAATTACATGTGATATTAAGACTAACATCAAATTGAATTTACTTCATTAAAAGCTGAATTTACTAATTGTCTATCTCCATATTACTAATTTCTAAACAATATTAAATCTAAATATGATTCCAGAAATTATTTTTTTTCGGGATTTATAATCCTTTAGTAATTTATTTATGCTGAAGTAACTAATATGTGTGATTTTATTATTATTTTTTTTCTAAACAGAATAAATTGGCAGAGAGGTCACTTAATATTTAGAATTTTAAGCATATTTTGTCAATAACATTTAAAAATACTTGTTTTTTTCTTAGTATTTTATGTTATACAAAGCTGTTAATTATATGAAATCATCATCATTTTCTTTTCTGTTTTTATGTTATATAATTTTTTTCAGGTTTAAAATATATATACACATATATATTTCAACTTGAATGCGTGTTTTTTTTTCACTACTTGACATCGGATTAGCTTTAAATTGATACATTTTGATAAAAAGTAATAACCAACAGACATCATATCGCATAAAATTGATTTTAAATATGGAATTTTAGATATTATTTATGCAGTAATTTTATGTTTTTAGATGTAAATTTCTAAAGAGTGAATTGCTGTTTTACTATAATAATACTTTATTTCTGATTACTCATAATATTAAGACTAACATCAAATAGAAGCTGAAATATAATTGTACATTTCCATTTCACTATAATTTCTAAAGAATATCAAATCCAGATATGTTTCCAGAATAAATTTCAGGGTTTATAATGTTATTACTCCAATTAAATTTATTTATGCTTCTATAACTAGTATGTGTGATTTTTTTTTTTCTAAACAGAAGAAAATGTCGGAGATGTCACTTTATATGTAGAATTTAAGCCAATTTATGTCAATAAAATAAAACAAAATGTTTTTTTTCTTAGTATTTTTACTTGTTTTACAGTATACAAAGCAATTAATTAGGAAATTATGATTTTCTTTTCCATCTTTTCGGGTTTTATAATATACACATTAAGTTGAAGTCAGAATTATTAGCTCCCCTGAATTGTTAGCCCCCCTATTTACTTTTCCCCCAATTTCTGTTTAAAGGAGAGCAGATTTTTTTAATACATTTGTAAACATAATAGTTTTAATAACTCATTACTAATAACTGATTTATTGTATCTTTGCCATGATGACAGTAAATAATTTTAGACTAGATATTTCCAAGACACTTCTATACAGCTTAAAGTGACATTTAAAGGCTTAACTAGGTTAATTAGGTTAACTAGGCAGGTTAGAGGAATTAGGCAAGTTATTGTATAACAGTGGTTTGTTCTGTAAAATATGAGGAAAAATATAGCTTAAAGGGAATAATAATTTTCACCTTAAAATGGTTTTAAAAAATGAAAAAAAAAAATAAAGGTGGGCTAATAATTCTGACTTTAACTGTATATTTAAACTATATATATATATATATATATATATATTTTTTTTTTTTATTTTTTTTTTTTTTACTACTTCACATCGGATTGGCTTTAATTTGATCAATTATGCTTTCTGCAAAAGTAATTTTTTTTCATCACCAGAATTTTAAGTCATAACCTACGTCACATTACATAAAATTGACTTAATAAACAATTTTAGATATTTATACATTATTTTCATGTTTTCAGATATAAATTTCTAAAGGCTAAATTGCTATTTTACAATAATAATAATTACTATTACATTATTTCTAATTACTCAAAATATTAATAATAACATCAAAAAGAATTTACTTCTTTCAAAGCTGAAATAAATAATTGTCTATCTCCATATCACCAATTCCTAAAGACTATTAAAGTCAAAGATTTTCCAGAATAATTTTTTTCAGTGTTTATGTTTTCAGTCATTTATTTAACTAGGTGTTTTTTTCTAGTAATAGGAAATAATCATTTTCTTTTCTGCTTTTTTTTAATCAAAATTCTTTCAGGTTGTATAATACACACATATATTCCAACTTTACTTTCTGCGATTTCTTAAAAAAATTTTTTTTGTTTTATCACCAGAATTTTAAGTCAAATAAAATTGAACTTTAAATATAGTTTTTGATTTTTTTATCCAGTATACTTTTATTTTTTCAGATTCAAATTTCTGAAAACCGTTAAATCTTGTAATATTTAATATTATTTTTTTTTTATATTACATTAATATTTATAATGTTTACTTGTAATATTTAGGTTAAAAAACAAAGGTCGGTGGACCAAAAAAAAGTAACTTAATTTAAAGCTATTAATTAAATAACTTTGAAACTTTCTAACTAAATAATCTAAAGAATATAAAATCTAAACTCAAGATAAATTAACTTGTTTATTTTTTTTCAATGTTATTTTCCTGATTTAAAGTACAAATTTCTAAAGACAAAATATACATTACAATTAAATACACTAGAAAAGCCAAAATTACAAAGAAAAAAACTAAAACAATAATAATAATTTACAAACAAGTTTGTCCTTTAAATTCTCATTTGTTTCTTTCTCGTTAGCAGATTAAATGAACACTTATTTAACCAAAAAGTAAAATAACACATAATATTTGTTAAAGAAAATGTGTAAAAATTACATTTTAATCAATAATTGAAAAACAAATCTCACCTCTGCTTCAAATAAATTCACCGTCATTTATGTAATATTAGTATTTTTTTTGTCAATAAAAAGTCTAAAACACTATATCAATTTTTTTTATATGATTTTTTTGCATTATGTACATTTATTACAGTATTTATTCATGTTTGTTGAAAATACAGTCGAAGTTCATGTTAACTCGCGTTGCATTAACTAATGTTAACAAGCATGAACATTTTAATTAAAAGGCATTAGTAAATGCTGAACAGTAATTAATAAATGCTGTAATGCATTATTGTTCATAATTAGTTCATGTTAGTAAATATATTAACTAATGAAACCAAGTGTGACCATTATATTAATAAGACTTTTATCTTTATTTTCCCCCTTTCACCGCAGGACTGTGGAGCCGATTGTGCAAAGTTTCAGAAGAGCGAGATCGAGCACAGATTCACCAGAAACGCTCTGGATCGGCTTTACACATCCCCTCACGCTTGGGGCCCGACATACGGAGCTCATAAGCACCATCTGGAGTTCAGTCACGAGCAGTACAGAGAACTACAGCAATACGCCACAGACATCGGCATCTTTTTTACCGCATCCGGCATGGACGAGGTCAATAAACATCCATTTTATTAGGCAACGCTGTAAAAAAAATTGCTGGGTTCCACACAATTATTAAGTGAAGATTAAGTTTACATATAACAAATTTAAGTGGATGAAACATAAAAGAATTTAGTTGCCCCCTCAAAAAAATTTTCTAGAATTGTGTTGTTTCAGCTCATTTTAAATAAGTAGGTTGAACAAGCAGTTAAAATCTTTTTTTGTGTAAATTATGGGCTCCACACAATTACTTTATGTTCTCCTAACAAAAATTGATTCGTTCAACTTAATTTTTTTTTTACAAATTTAAGTTGATCGAACATAAAACAATCAAGATGTCCCCAAAAAACTCAATTGTGTTGTTTCAGCTCATTTTAAATGATCATTTTTGAGTGAATATTTTTGAGTGAAAATTTTTTGTTTTTTATTTCGCCAGTGTTAAAGGTTTTTTTAAGTGCATAAAAAAATTTATTAAATGTGATTTTACCATTTAGTTGATAGAAGTATTGACATTTATTTTAAAATCTTATCATAATGTTTTAATTTCCTTTTTTCAGGTTACATTTTTTTTTATATTTCAATATAAAAAAAATATATATAAATATTTCAGATATCGGCATCTTTAGATTTAATGCCACAATATTTCATATACTGTAGCCAAATGTTTGCGATATGGTCTTTATGTTGTATTTAAATTGTCTTATTTTGCCCACTAGTGCTGCAGTTTGTTTGATTTTAATAATAAAAACATAAACAATATGTTTATTAACATAATAACAATAATAAAACAGTAAACTTTAGATTTAAAATATCAGTTTTCAATGTTCATGTTTTAGGATAATTAAGAATGTTTTAGGATAATTGTATTTTATTCTTGTGATTTAAAGCTGAATTTAAATCAATCTTTTGTGTCACACGATTCTCCTGAAATCAACATTATACGCTGATTTACTGTTCTATTATGATTAATTATTGGTGTTTATAAGTAATATATTTTATAATTAATGTATTTAATATATGTTCATATTTAATTTATAATTAACTTATAAAATGAAATATAAGTGATTATTACAATTATCACTGTTTAAAAAGAATAGTTTTACTAATTTAGTAGGATTCTTTAATAAATTTACAAAATAACAGCATTGATTTAAACCCTCTTAATTTAATGTGCTTTTTTAATGCCGTTTTTTACTGTTACTAAATCAGTTTTCACAAAAATATGAAGCATCTCAACAGTTTTCAACACTAATAATAGTAATAATAATAAATAATATTAATATTATTAATAATAATGTTTATAATTAATATATTTTAACATCTTTGTTTAATTTATAATTAATTTATGAAATGACATACAAGTGATTATTATAATTATCACTGTTTAAAAAATAACTTGAACAACATTGATTTAAACCCTCTTAATTTAATGTGTCCTTTTTAATGGCACTTTTGACTGGTACTAAATCACAGTTTGCACAAAAATGTGAACCATCTTAACAGTTTTCAACAATAATAATAGTAATAATAATAATAATAATAAATATTTCTTTATTTAATTATTTCTGACGGATCGTTTGACAATAAAAACTGCAGTAAAACTTCTTCAAATCATAAAAATAAATGAAATTATAAACTACATTAATAAAGAAACCAGCTATTTTAAACTATAATATTGCACATTTTACCGTATTTATGGTCAAATAAATGCAGCCTTGGTGAGCTGAATATGTCAAATGTGTTTTATATATCATATTTATCGTGTATAGTGAGTATAAATCTTTTTGAAACCATTAAAATAAAGCTTTTGACTGAACTTTTAATATGTTAACATGAATAATGATCCACATAACGCTATTTTCCTACCTCTCTCAGATGGCGGTGGAGTTTCTTCACGAAATAAACGTGCCGTTTTTCAAAGTGGCCTCAGCCGACACCAACAACATCCCCTACCTCGAGAAAACAGCCAAAAAGGGTAAATCTCAGTTTACTAGAAAAAAATGTGGTACATTCAGAGAGACGACTGTCGTGTGTTGATGCTGAACTGATAATTGAGTTGTTTTTTAATGTACAGTGAGTTCAAAGTCATTTATTCTGGAAAACCCTGTTCTGATTGGCTGGAGGGCAGAGGAGGAGTAACCTGGAAATCCTGGAGTGGATTTTCTGGTTGAGTGTGTGTGTGTGTG